TTTTTGTAAATTTAAATAAATATTCAAAAACAAGAAATGAAACTTGAAGTAAAAACAGGTTTGGAGAAAAACATTGCTGTCCTCTTAGATTTTATTTCAAATGTTCTAAATCATTTAAATTTTCTTTTTCAGATTTTTCAAATTGCATTATTCTCAAATTACTTTTTACAATTAACATTCTTTACTTCAAGCACAATGCAAACACTCTTGACACACAATTAATGCAAATTGTAAAAAATATATATATAAATCTGTAAAATAAAACATTTTTAAGAAAAAATCTGAAAAAAAAAAATTAAAACAAAATCTGGGAAAAAACTCTTAAAAAAAACAGTTTCTTCTTTCAGTTTGATTTCTGGATTCTTTTTAATTGAATTTCTATTTTAAAACGTGTTTTCTGATTGCAACAATAATGGACCAACATTCACCCCATACCTCCTGTTGGGCACTCGGGAGCGACTGCTTCGCATTTCAGTGTTTTGGCGAAAACTACATTAAATGTATACTGGAGGATTTTTGAGATTTTTTGAAAAGACCCGCCCTCTCTACTTAAAATAAAAAAAAAAAAAAAATGCACATGCACAACCCTGTACCCGCACCTAAAAGGGAACCCCTATTAAACACGTGCGAGAGCGTGCACGAGCCCATTTCTCCTCGTGCACGCTCTGTTTAAAAGTTGCTTTTTGCGTCGCTCATATAAGCTTTCTTTCCAAAAGAAAATTAGCAATTTTTCCACTATATCAGACTGGGGACGAAAATGGGGACGAGCACGAAAGGACGGCCTTACGTAAACATCACCAGAATGATTGACAATAAGAAGGGTCACCCGGAAAAAGCACATCCTGCACTAAACTTTTTGAGTGAAGAATAATGATCTCAGAATCATCTTTCCCTCAGTTAACTTCTGCTTCTCACGCTTCTCTTGTTTCAGTGGTTTTTAATCTCAGATTAAAATTTAAAAACCCCTCAAACAAACCGTTTATCAGACGATTCAGGCGGGATGCACCGCAGCCACTTTGATAAAACAACCATTTTCTTTTACATCTGCAGCGTCATCTGCTCCATTTAATCATATTTCTTCCTCACGTTTGGCACCTTATTGTTTTTATTTTAAGACCGAATTTTACTTTTTGCTATTTTCTCCTATTAGTAGGGCTGCAACAACGAATCGATAAAAATCGACTTTTAAAAGCGTTGGCAACGAATTTCATCATCGATTAGTTGTGTCGCGCGATTAATGCGTCATCCGTGGCCGTCATCACTGCCACTTGACTGAAACGGGGGAAGAAAAAAAAATTACGGCAGAGCGAGTCAGCGCTGCAGGTGCGCAGTGTTGCAAACTCAGCGACTTTTCAGACCCTCCAGTGACCATTTTTTTAAAAAAGCGACTAGTGACAAATCTGGCGACTTTTTAGTGTGTCATTGGCGGCTTTTGGAGACTCTTACGTGAAAGCATGTATCATTCCTACTCTACCGTGAGGCGCCTCCCCCATCCCAACCCCGTTCTCTCGCAGGAGTCCCTCTCAGCGCTGCAGTCAGAGCCGCAGGATGTTTCAGCGTCCAAACTGCAAATGAAGCGCGCATGC